AACATATGTTCATAATTTAACATATTTAATCCCTCTATTAATCACATTATTTCTATTTCATAAGCTTTGCAATAACCAGATTCGTGATAAATGTTTGTGAATTTTATTTATTTATTTATTTTTTTGTATGTTTGCGCGAGATGTCATAGGTGTGTTTGCATGCAGTGAGTTTGTGTATGTGCGCGTGTTGTTGAGGGTGTATATGCATAAACCGAGTTTATATGTATATGCGAGTATGTATAGGTGTGTTTGCATGCTGCGAGTTTATTTGTATGTGCATGTAAATGTGGGTATTTATGCGAGAATCGAGTTTATATGTATATGCAAGTGTGTATAGGTGTGTTTGCATGCAGCAAGTTTATATGTATGTGCGTGTGTTAATGTGGGTGTTTATGTGAGGATCGAGTTTATATGTATGTGCGTGTGTATGTGGGTGTATTCATGCGTCAAGTTTATATGTATGTACACAAGTTTCATCCATGTTGTTTTGAACATCCAGTAGTATAGGTGTATATGCGAGTAATTTATAGGTGTATATACACGTGTTTTATGTATGTGTTGATAAGCAAAGTTTGATTTAAATCCTATACGGCACCTCATAGAAACCCCTTTTGTGATTAACTTGTGGGGTTAGTAGCTAAGCAGGTTTCTAACACCTATCATGCTGTCATAACGCCAGTTATCATGCTGACTCCAATACTGAATTTGAATGCTTTGTTTAGCCATCTTCTCTCCTCCTAACAGGACATTATAGACAGGACAATCTTTGTCTTAACTCAGACTTGTGATAAAACTCGAAGACTGCAGACCTCCAGTAGGCTCTGCAGACACATGGACTTTCTTATGATGCTGTATGACTGCAGATTAACCAACACGTCTCAATAAAGGAATTCTGCTTGTTTCGAGTCTCCTGGTCTGGGATCTTTTCTATTCACTCATTAATTTTTTTTTACAAAAATATAATACAGTTTTTGTTCAAAATTATTATAAATTACTGTAGAGTTTTCTCACTGGCAAATGACATGAACTAGTGGGTTGGCTGCTGTCATCTTTAAAGTGTGCGCATTTGTGTTTCAAGAGGCATGGCTTTGAACAGCAGGGGTGGGACTGTGTTTCAAAGTTTTATGCTAACCGGTTTGCCTTTTGGCAGATCACCTACTGCACTTTTAGGTATACTTTTTTTGTTTGTACTAAAATTTTAACAAATAAAAAGGAAATTATATGCAGCAATATGCAATTTAAATGCATAGATCTTACTTGTACCAGAAGTTAGTCATTCTCACCTGTTAGCAGTACTCTGAACTTGTCAGCAGTGATGGAGACAACGGTGGTCTCTGAGGAGTCTGTCAGGGGGTCCTGAGCCTGAAGTCTCAGCTGCACTGTAGGTTCATTCACTTGCTTTAATTCACTGGAACTCAGGGTGTAATCAACCCGCCAGTTCACTGTTTGCAGACGACCCACTGACAAATTATGTAAACCAGAACAGAATATTGCATTTAAAGAAGTAGTCTGGGCTGCATCATTTTATCTTTTTTGGTAGTACTTACAGCGTAGGCTGCTCTCTCTCAGCTTTTCCTGAAGAGCACTATGCTTATCCTCATATGATTTACACAATCCTGTGGTGTGCTCTAAAAAATGGACATACATGTTTTTATTATTCAAGTTATAAAATTTTGTCATCAAAAAGAAAAAGTGAATGGCGCATGCCCTTACCTTTAGGCAGGCCAAGCTGCTGTAGTTCACTGGAGAGGGATTCACTGTCCACATCATGCTTCGCTGCACTGGACAGAATAAAACTCAGCACACCTATGCAGGCTTTGATATCTCCACTATCTAGAAGAGAACATGTAATCATGGTTATTGCAGTTAGTTAACAAAAATATATTATTATTATTATATTTTGAATAATAATTATTTAATAATAATAATATTATTCCAATTAATCATCCAATAAAAAAGGTAAATAAAATTAAAAAAATATTTCAACTACTCGTCAAAGAAAAAATTGGTACTTTAGTTTATTTGGATGTACTAAAATAACTCAAATTAGGATTAATTAAAGCAACACTACACTTTTTAAGGGTAATAGGCTCATTTTACAAGTCCCCTAAAATAACACAGTTGAGTTTTACCATTCAGTCGATCTGCAGGTCTGGCGGGAGCACTTTTAGCTTATCTTAGCATAAATCACAGAGTCAGATTAGACCATTAGCATCTCGCTCAAACTTAAATTTTGATAATTTTCTACTTAAAGTTTGACTATTCTGTAGCTACAACATATGCAACAGTACAGCAGCACCTGCATGACCTGAAAATAGCACCCAGCTAGGTAACAAGGATGCATAGTATCATTGCCCATACAGCAGCCATGGTATGGTATCGAAGTTCCTTGACTGTTATGCCAGAATGAGAATGTCATAATCCAAAATTTTTGAGCAATATTACTAATAGTCTTATTAATACAATTCAATGATTTATGCTAAGGTAAGCTTAGCTGAAAATGCACCCGCCAGACCCGGAGATTGGCTGAATGGATTCAAAAATGTTAAAACTGTAGTAGAATGAACCATTAGTCATATCTAACCTGCTACAATAACACAACAAAATGGAAGATATGAAAGTAAAAATGTATTCAATGCATCAATAAAACTATAAAGGTATATCAACAAAGCTAAAAATAACACTGCATGTGTGGACAAATTAGTAAGAAATATGCCATAAAGTAAAAATGGCCAAGTCGCTTATGTACAAACAAGCATTGCATTATGAAATAATGCATGTCTGTTATCAGCCAAAGTTAAATATTTATAACATTTATTAGTTGAGAATTTATCCTTTGCACTTATAAATTGCCCTTGTTTATGATACAAATTTATTTGCATTGATCATTCTATCAGTTTTAGCATTTGGATTTGCCTTAGCTGTCATTTAATGCTTACTTCAAGGTAAACTTTAAAAACACTAACTTAATGATGTTAATCTAAAGGAAAACGACTATCAATTTTTAAACTGTACATTTTAATGTGAGCCCAATCTCACTCATTTAAAATTACAAATATAATTTTAATACATTAAAATCAGAACCTCAGAACCTTAGCATGTTCTTCAGTCAGTCCGAATCAACCATTCAACACGCTCATGGTAAACAGTAAATATCATTTAATATTTAATTATTGGATTTTTAGATCATCTATTGTTATCAGCCATCACAGAAAAAAAATTTTTTTTAGTTTATATATGGCCATAATTACACACCTAAAAACCTATATACTGTAACAACAATTTTATTTAATTATTGAGATCACATGAGAAAAGAACACTTGGTTTTACTCACCAAATTTGGCGTCTGATGTCAGTTTTGACACTTTGTCATACTAAAAATAGACAATTATATATTAATTGAACAATTATGCATTTAGTAGAATTTTATTTTGTCATAACTGCTGTATCGAGTGCTATCTTACGTCAATGCCTTCATCAAGAAGATCTTTAACAACTTGCACGCATAGAAGTTTCATCTTGACGCTAGACTGTGAAGAAAAGTAGTAGGGAAAGTTATACTTATAGTTAGTTGTGCTTATTGTTAGCTTTTACAAAGAACATCAAGAAACATAGCACCAAATACATTTAGGCAAATCATACTTACTATTCTAGCTAAGGTGCTAATTTCTGCAAGGACCCAGTCAGGACAGTCCAAATCGCCACAAAATCGGAACCTCTGTAATACAAGTTGCACACATAACGTTAAGTTAGTTTATTCTTAAATGTATACATCTTAACGTTAAATACGCTTGGGCGTCTGGCGTTGGCTATCCACAAAATTAAAATGGATTAAAAAGAATAATTCTCAAAACAATGTTTTATGTAATTGTATCATATTTGAAATTCGAATAAACCAATAATCGTTTAATAACAGACAAATACCATAGTGTCAATCGCAGTCAGCTGCTTGTCCTCTTCTTCTTCGGTTTCGGCTTTGTCTGCAACAAATCAGCTAATTCCTCCTACTGGATTGGAGTTTCACTGGCGAATGCTAGTATGCATTTTTTATTTTATTTAAACAACAGCAAATATACAATTTAAACAAAGAATACAAACGTAACTAAAACATAAATAAATAAATAAATAAATAAATAAATAAATAAATAAATAAATAAATAAATACATTTAAAGTGACATAGCAGAGGGATTATTTAACCTACCCAACTGAGTTTACTATTCAATTAACTTCAACTCCTTTGCAACTATTGTACCTTGACATTTCTTAATATTATACTGGGGTCAATATAAAAAACTGCAGCAAGTGCACTCCCAAAATAAAAGATTTAGTGTTTCATCATATTGGGTACAAAATAAGCATTTAGAGATTTTTTTTTATTTAGCTAGTTTGGTATTTATTGGGTAGCAATTATGAATGATTTTGATTGAGACTTCAACAGCTTTATTAGACAATTCTTTTCCCCAAAGAAGACAAAATCCTAAATCACCACATATTTCAAATACCCATCCAAGCAGGAAAAGAGATTGGAGTATTATTTAGAACTAAGTGATTATCTTTGTTTGACATAGAAATGAGAAGAGTTTGGTCAACAAAAGGTTTGTGTTGTCAAAAATAAAATAAAGAACCTTTGGGGACTAAAAGTATAACACAATTAGGGATTGCACCGAAAACTATTGCATATATTTTGGAGGAACAGGAAAATAAAACTGATGTATAGAATTTTCAAATGAAATAGGGACACCACAGTCATCTAAGAGCTGACTAACTAAAAGTATATTTTTATTAAACTAGTTATTTTATAAACGAGATTTAGCCTATTTTGCCTAATAGTTTTATTATTCCAAATAAAATAGGTACGAGGAGAAAAAATATGGTTATATGTAAGGGACCAACATATTAAAGCCTGTTTATGAAAACAAGATAAATTTAATAGCCTGAAACAAGATTACAATAAAACGCAACGCATTGAACACACGCATCTTTAATCTACCGCGCAACACCAAGTAGACGCGCATTATAATTTGAAGCTCGCCCGGAACCGCAGATGTCGTGACCTGACCACCAGTAATACTCTCGCTCTCTACTACCATGATTCGACATTATTCTTCTCTCAAATTCAAAGGGAATTTGGCGTATCCTTGGCTTATTTATGGAGCGTGTTTTCAATGCGTGTTTTGCTCTTGTAATCCCAGATTAACTCTGAAACAAGGTGAGACAAAAACCTAATATCTTCTTCAATCGGACTAATGATTTGCTAGTCATTTACACAATATATCTTACTAGTAAAAGCAGCTTTTTATTCTATTCTTTTTTGATGCACATATACAGTATATTATATATAAATTATTTTATATAATATGTATAATTTTATGTCATAATGTTATATGAAATTAGGCAAAAATCTAAATTGTGTAAGAGCGAGGACATGACGGCTATGTCTTCTAGACAACATACATTCACTCATTTTTATTTTCTCTAGATAATGCTCCATTGAATTACAACACCAACTACAGTCATACAGTTTTGTTCCATGAAGAAGGATCGAAAAGTTTATTTGTGGGAGGATCAAACATTGTTCTGCACTTTGATGTAGACAGTTACGAGATTTTGGAGGTAATTATCAAACAGGAATTGGTCGTTAATATGCTCGATGTGGTTTTCACAGGTCTTGATATAACCTATAGTGGATATTGTCTTCGCAGATACAGGCTGTGTTCACAGCACTAAATGTTTTTTCGGTAAAAACTAATTTAGATTATTTAATCAATCATTAACAGCGAATGAGGTTTAAACGCAAAAAAAGTGGTGTTCATGAATTATTTATTTTCATCAAACAATTCAATCTGTTGCCCTGGTTGCAATGAATTATTTAACCTTTATAGAAAAACACACCTCAATGAGCATCTAGCCTGATGGGTACTGAGTCAAAGTAATCATTGTTTGCTTTGTTTTATTTTGTAAAACTATTCTATTTAAATGGAATAACATTTTTTATGAAAGAGATAAACCCGGTGTTGCTTGAATTTGTTACAGCTAAGGCATTTATTCTCAGATTCATGTTAACCATTGTAAATTCACTGTAAAACATGTTTTTTGTTGTTGTTGTTGTTTTGTGGGGTTTAGATTTCGCATTATAATAGAAAACAATAACTTGTTTAGATTGTCAGTATTTATTATATGTATTTATTTTCAGAATTTTACTCTAAATGCAAACTTGCCAAGATGTGGTGAGGTGAGTTTTATAATTCACTTGAAGAAGATAAAAAAGAACATATTTACTTTGACTTGTATATTGACTTGTCCTTCTTACTAATATTTCTCTATCTATATAGAGCTCTTGTGAAAATGTAGTCACAGTAATTGAGACTTTTCAAAACTGCAAATTTGTATGTGGGACAAATGGAGAAGAGCCACAGTGCTGGGAACTGGTAAGAGAACTTATTAGTAGTGCAATATTTTTGGTCTCTGCTACATATTTAGAACAGTGCTGCATTTAAGTGTTTATTTCAGCTAAATTCAATCTAGTCATTTTACAAATACATTTAATACAAGTACAGTTATTATACTGCTATGGTAGGCTTATATTTAACTTTAATGTACATGTTAAAGACTGTTGATTGTTTTATATTCATACTCATAAGTATGTGAACATGAGCTTACATCTTGGTGGAAATAATTTCTACTGAAAGCATTAGACATTCTCAGGATTTATAATGTTCAGTTTATTATGAGTTAAATGATTGTAGGTAATAATTCATGTCCTGCATATGAATACATGTTAAAATGGCCTACATGTTAAAATATTCTCTTTCCCAGTATCCAAGAGAAAGCAATCATTCTGTTGTTAAGTCTGTAGAAGGCACAGGGATCTCGCCACATTCTAGTGAACAAAACTCCTTGTCTCTTGTAGCAGGTATGTGGGCAGCACACACCGAGTGATCTCATGTTGAGCAAGGAAAGGATTTTATGTCTGTTTCATAATGAATGTTTTATATGTTAAGATGGAGATCTATATGCAGCAGCTCCTCTATACAGTGATGGAACACTTCTGCAGTTCCGTAGAAAAGCTGGAAAGCGAATCAACGTATGGATGCATGATCAGTGGGTCTCAGGTTGGTATCAATGACTAGTGTATAAAATAATTAAAACAATGTTTACAAGAAAAAATATATATACTTTTTTGTTTTTCTGCTTAAAAAAAGTCACAATAATTTCAATGTTGCTTACCTTTTTTTAGCTTGTGAAATCTATTGAGCGATTTCTATATGATTTTACTTATTGTATGCATTTCCTAATTGAGAATATTTCTAAATGTCTTCCAAGGAAGGTTAAATAAGATTTAAGATACAATGTAAAATGGTAGCACAGTAAATTTAGTGCTTACATGCTTAGTGTGCTATTGTGTACACTTAGTGCTTTTTTACTTTAGTGTGCTCTTTAGTGGATGGGTATTTGCTGACAATGTGGGCTGAGCAAGCAAAAGGGCTATGTCTGCTGACCAGTCAGAATTTTACCTCTCCCAAGCTATCACTCTAGCCACTTTTTTCACACATCTGTCTATTGCTTGGCTATCACTTGCACCAAACGTCACATATAGCATATATAACTTGCAACTGAAGTTGAGGTCCATTAAAATTCATAAAATAATACATGATTTATGTCAACTCTCCCACACAGAACCTACTTTTATCTCCAGTTTCCTGGCCAAGCGCAAAAATGACTCCTTGAATGAGAAGATATATGTCCTATTCCGAGAAAAAAACTCAGACACTAGTCCAGAGGCGGATCCTTGGATATCTAGAGTTGCCAGAGTGTGTAAGGTATGTATGTTAAGCAGTTTGATTATTTAATACAAAAAAACATAAAGATGGATGTGTGATAAATAGTTTCTCTTAGTGGTACATTGTGTACGCTAATCTTACACAATGATTAAAAATCAGAGAAACTTAAACACATTTTGACTTTATAATTTAAAGGTGCCAAATGCATTCATTCAGTGTTTTAAATTGTTCTCTGATATTCACATATGCGTCTTAGGTATGTGTATGTATGCCGTTAATAGCACACCACATCTAATTAGATTTAATGCATCACTGTGTCTTTGTGTTTAGCTTGGCAAAAGATGAAGAATTTTTTCCTCATGTATCAAAATTCCTCATAAAAGCAGCAGGCCGTGTAAAGCTGATCACTATGAAAACAATTTTTTTTACCCTGAATTATTAAGGGTGCTTCCTTTACATCAAAAAAACGGCCATCCTAGGCTAAAAATCATCATTAGATGTTCAAATAACATTTTAGTTTACCAAAATATTTAATTATTAAAATATTTGAACAGTTAATGATGGTTTAGAAGAACAGGGTAATCATTAGGGATTGCTACATTAGTTATATCGTTTTTTATTATTTTTAGTCGTTTGGGATGCAGTGACATGCAGTCAAACACTTTGACGAACAGATCCATCACTTTTGACGCTCATAAATTAGCATAAAAGTCCTTGTGCTGCAGGTATTACGAGGTTTACAGAAGGTGCAGCTATCATGCTGTGAGGAATTTGCATCTTTAATAAACTGACAGTTTGCATTTATTGAAAATCATGAATGATTAATAAATCCACATGAAGCAGTCCCCTAAAAGTGACGTTGCGTATTCAGTTTCGGGATCAGGCACGCTTTGCACTCACACTACAAGCGTACCACACCAAAGCCCAAGTGAACCGTGCTCTGGCATGCCTCTTCCAACCGGGCCAGGGGCGGCCAACTGAACCATGCCTGAGCCCGATTTAGAGCACTAACATTTCTCAAACGAATCGGGAAAGCCTGGGCACGGTTCTGATAGCATAGTGTGAGTGCGCCCTTAGGCATGTATGATTAACTATTAACTATAACTATTATGGCAACTATTATGGCTCAGAACAAATTTTGTGTCCATTTTTGTTTTGTTTTGTGGCAAGTAGTTTATTCTGCTATAACAACCTCCTGGATGTACTTTATCCCTTACTTAAAGGTCTCCATGCAGCGCTGAAATTGACTTGCAGCTATATTTTGTATATTTTTGTCAGTTTGTTTTGTCTGTCTCTCACAGTAACACTAATGGTACACATACTATAAAAGGGAATGTCTTTAAACTCTATTCATTCATTTTCCTTTGGTTTAGTGCCTTTATTCATGAGGGGTTGTCACAGTGGAATAAATCGCCAATTTATCCAGCTATGTTTTACACAGATGATGCCCTTCCAGCTGCAACCCAGTACTGGAAAACATCTATACCACACATACACTTTAGTTTATTCAATTCACCTATACCCACCTGTCTTTGGACTGTGAGGGAAACCGGAGCACCCAGAGCAAACCCATGAAAAATGGGGAGAACATGCAAACTCTACACAAAAATGAAAACTGATATTTTTAAAGAACATGGATACTTGTGCTTGCTCTAGCATTTTGATTTGCACAAAATATATGAAAATGTGTGTGTTCTGAAGAAGTCTGAAGAAGTTTTTGTGTTGTTAAATTGGAAAAATAGGACTGTTTGTGTTTATATCAGCCCAATAGGATGGTCTATACACTACAACTACACATATGTCTGTCCAAACTGCTTAAAAAGTAGATTTTTCACCATAGATGCCCTTTAAATATGTGTTTAATATGAATCATTATTCAATACATTTTTCAGTTATAATTATAATGGTGTATCTATAATAATTATTGTCTGTGGGTTTGTCATCTGCCGCTATCATGTCCCTAATAAGCAAAGTGGTTTCATCTAATTCTCAAACCCCACTGGGTAATGCACTTTGATCTTACATTTCTGAGTATTTCTGACTCATTTTATTAATGTGTTAAAATGAGGTGCATCTTACTTTCCCTCAATATTTCTAATAGACAAAGAGGAATTGACTTGCCACAGTGGCTGAAGAAAGATAAGAAAAAGATCCAAACGTCTTGCTTGCTGTAAATCCATATTGCCCTAAAAAAATGTAACTCCCATATGCTGGGAAATCATTGTGGTCAGTCACCACTTTGTTACCCAGTTTGTCTATAAATGCGTCTATTCGTTGATGAAGGTTCACTGTGGGTTCAGTCTTTTCAGTGCATATCTGACCTTTGTTTTAATATGAGGTGATTTAGATTATTCATCTATTTATTTTTCTTTTCATCTGACTCCAATAATAAAACATTAATATTATTTCAATCTTCTAATTTCCTTTATCTAATGTAAATGAAAGTTTGAGGTTTTATAGTTTTCACTCTTATTCACTACACTATTTAATTAAAGATTCTATGTTGTCCACATTTACACATTGATCTGTCTTGATTATTAGACAGGGGTAAAATTGACATACCCAGGGCCGGCTGGTTCAGAGGCGACCTAGGCGGCAGAATAGTGAGAGTGGCATCCGCGACCCCCACCCCATCCAGTCATTACATTCATCCCCAAGGTCCTCTCTTACATCTGCGACATTCCACCGCCCCCCGTCTTCACTTCACGAAACGGTCACTTTCGTTTACACTATCAGGTTGAGGGCGGCGTGATCGTCATTTACCTGGATTGCCAGCGCAGCTTGCTCCGGCCCTGGACATACCTTAAAGGGCAAGTCCTGCTTGCTCGATATAAAGTATGTTAATTAGTCCCCTACACACTTAAATTAAAAGTAATATCATTTCTAGAGGTAATAGCCATTAATAGAGATTAATTTTGGTTTTGTCATGATTCATAGTTCCCCATGTACACTGAATTAGAATGCCAAGTACAGTTGAACGAGACTCAGGCACCCTATCTAAGTTAGTCATACAACACCTTGTTGTCCTAGAAGGAAATAATAATTTTCCACCTAAGAAAATGTGAACTAACATCAAGTGTTTGTCGAATCTCTAAAAATACAGCTAATGTTTCCAATGCTCCATCTTAGCTGCACTTTAGTTCATTACTAACCTGATGCACAGAATGTGATGACAAAGAGACAACAAAATCTATTAGAATAAATAGGAATTTCAAAATTACTAGCATATCAAATAGTAGAATTATCAAAAATACATTCAAACATTAGTCTGGTAAGCATGTATTATGCCAATTATTCAGTTAATTCATAAATGAGCAATACAGGACATCAAATTCTAAAGATAAATCTAAGGTCAAAAAGATGCATACCTGACTTACAGTATGGAGTGTGAGAGCTTCAAATCACGGGCTGATCTGACTACAGACTCACACTGAATTTTTTGGCACTTTTCCTTAAATACTCCTCCTCAGATCTCCTTCAAAGAGGGTTGTATAAAACAATAATTGGAATTTGCATAGAATGGAACATTAGATTTGAAGTGTGTCTGTCTATGTGGTCAAATGGTCATTTGAATAGAAACCATCCAGATAGGGGCACACCCTTAATAGTAGGTCAAAAGACACCTGAAGTTATAATTTCGATTATTTTGATTATGCCGATTTCTAAGGGAATGAGACCATTGTACCAGTCACAGTGAGACTTTTCAAATGATATCAAACATAGATAAAATCACTTGCATTATACAGAACATTTATGTTTTTGAGATGATTTTTCTGTGTGAGTTGAATGAAGAGGAGAGTTGGTGAACAGATGGAAGTGTGGAAGAATTAAATGAAGGAAAGAAGAATAATAAGCTCACTGGGTGGGGAGTGCTTGTATTGTCCATATTTATAGTCATCATATGTAGAGTGTTTTTGGAGCTTATGAAGAAAGCAGAAGTCAATGATTTATTTGAATTATTTAGCCTGACATGTGGTGCGGCACGGTAGCTCATTTGAGCACTGTTGCATCATAGCAAGAGGGTCGCTGGTTTAATACCAGGTTGAACCAGTTGGCAGGTCTGTGTGGAGTTTGCATGTTCCCCCCTGTTTTCGTGGGTTTCCTCCAGGGGCTCCAGTTTTCCCCGTTGTCCAAAGACATGCACTATAGGTGAATTGAATAAACTAAATTGTCCGTAGCCCATGAGAGTGTGTGAATGAGTGTGTATAGATGTATTCCAATACTGGATTGCAGCTTGAAGGGCATCCGCTGCATAAAAACTTATGTTGGAATAGTTCATTCCGCTGTTACAAACCCTTGATAATCAGGGACTAAGCCAAAGGAAATTGACGTGTCAGAATCCACATTTGCTATTTTAAGAAAAGAACAATACAGTCTGTGCGCCAGTGCATGGTCTAAAATGGTTATGCTTATTCTCTTAATGAGTTATAAGCTTGTTTTAAGCATAACATTCATTAAACCGATCAGATTCTCACCCCCTATTATCTTTGAGATTCATTTGCATCATGCCATGAAACATTTGTTATACACATGGCGGATGCTGTAAGTAACAAAACGGAATGCTTTACTAGCGAGAAAACAGTTAAAAAACATTGTGTAAGGATAAAGACAATTAGAACGATTGGAGAAGTAGCCTCCTCCATTCGGCCTCTTTACTTTTACTCTTTGTTTTACTCCTTTACTTTCGTGGAGTACGGAAACAGTGGTAGACTCACTCCACTGAAGACACCTGTTAGCCTACATATTTATTTTTGTCATTCATTTGTTAAACACAAAGATTTTTCAAAAACTATTTCTAAATTCAGTTTGAACTTCCAGCAAACAAATAAATGAACAAAAATAATGAAGTGGTAAAAAAAAAAGTTATATCCAAACTCTTCCTATTTTTATGCCGCATATGGTGATGCATAAATCTCTAAGACCTGACAGGTGAATAAATCCAAACTTGTTTTTATTAGAGCAAATATAAATATTCATACTACTACTAATAATAACATTATCCACATGCAAATTGTCATAAATAATGTTGGAATACTTATTCGATTGCATGCGTGTTCAATAAAATGGCCTGGAGGGTATTTTCTTCAATACTATAAAAATATAAGTAATTTCTTAGATAAAAATGAATAGTTCAATAACTATTCAATAACTATGAAGAGTTCTGCAATACAAAAATTATATTCTTAAGGTTCTACATTTTTACAATTCTACATTTCCCTGACTCCAGTATTTATACACAGTTGAGAACAGACATCCCAAGTCTCAGGAAGTTGCGGGAGTATCTCTGAAATGCATAGACACTCCTGGATGCCCGCAAATGAATGATAATCTCCCGGAAATCACGCGTCTCCTGCCCGGTCCTTAAATATGTTGCACACCCCTCTCTCCACTGCATCACTACTAGGTCTTCAGGTACGCCTCGCGCAACTCACCCCCACTGTTCTTCGGGTACGTCGCGCGCGCACACGCCCCCCTTCACAGCTTTCCTTTACAGATACGTTGCTCACTACTAAACTAACCCCCCCCCCCTCACCGCTACCTCCCGCAAATCAACTCTGTATGCCCCGGAAATGACTTTTTCCAACTTGGGATGTCTGTGATAATAACAGGTGGAGTTTTGGTAAAAATCGTTACTTGTCAATCATTCTACAGTTCTCCGGCCTGCACCAAACATACTTCCTTTTTTCTACAAATTCACACAAAAGTTAAAGCATAAGACTTCTCAACTGCAAATGATCTGTGTTCACATCAGCACATCTTCGCTTCAACAGGAAATCTAAGTGAGAAATTATTTTCATACATTGAGGTCGCTCTATCTATCTAGCCAGCGTCAGGAACTTCAACTTCTGCAAAAATGCTTCATTAATAAGAAGAAGTTTGGTTGATGTATCACTCAGCAATACAAAATATAAATGTTTACTGAAAAGAACAAAATTACCAACATAATATAAAATTAATTATTTTATTCCACCAAAAAAAAAAAAAAAAAAAAACTGACTTGGATTCCAAACCCCCCGAAGTCAAGAAGGCATAGAGAAAGTGGTTTTTATATTTTTCTAGAAAATAATGTGTATTGCACTACATTCTGTGTGTATTAAGCAACATGTATATGTGTTTTGGACCTGCATAGGTGCCTAACTAAGGTGCTTTTTAAATTACAAAAACTCTTTCAGTTGCTTCAAAATAGCAACACACCAACAATGCACCTTAACACATTTCCTTTTCAGACCAACATCTCCAGTCCACACAGTTGAACAAATGGATTTGCTATTTAAACAACGTGGTGCAAAACACGAAAATGATTGCTGCGCTGGTGTGAAAATAACAAAAAATATTGTCTTGCTTTTTGTATTTTGGTGTGAAGGGTTATTAAACAAATAAACTTTCAAAGGCATATTGATATAGTGTAGATGAACATATATGGTCTTTCATCATCCTTAATAATATAATTTTCCCTTAGATTGATGAGGGCGGTTCCAAACAGTTCCTCCAAAACATATGGACCTCTTTCCTGAAGGCACGACTTGTTTGTGGGATACCAAAGGAGTCACTGTATTTTAACCGCCTGCAAGATGTTTTTGTCCAGCATGCTGAGGACTGGAGGGATTCACTAGTTTATGCACTCTTCTCCAGTAGCTGGTAAACACTTTATCTTTTGGGATTTATAAAAGCAATATTTGGCCCATACTTTTTTTGTTTTAGTTTAGTTTAGTGTTTTAACTTCAGGAAAAGGGAAACAAACATTTCTGTATTAAGAATAGCATAATGATATAGATATATTATTTTATATGATATAGATATATTATTATTAAAAGGAGAGCTTCTTTGTTACTAACTAGTAAGTTTAGATAGTAATGCACAGAATTGAATTGAATTGAATTGAACTGAAATGAATTGTATATATAGTAATGCGAAACATTTTTATATTCAGATTTCTTTTTTACCACTAATGACTGAAATTAACTACATTACCTTAACTTGTTTGCATATATTGTGTATTTTCCCATTGCCATAGGAACTCTACCGCTGTCTGCATTTACTCTTTAGCAGATCTTGATGACATATTTGAGAAATCAAACTATAAAGGTTTTTCTGAGGCCATTCCCAACCCAAGACCAGGAAAAGTAAGCAAAATCATACACTTGCAGTACAATCAGGAAACATCTTTAATGATATATTTAGTTTGTCAGGGACAAAAACTTTTGATTCTGTCACTTTCTTTCACATTCTACTATGGTTAAAGTCAGCATTCCTCATTTTCCTGGTATTCACAAAACTTCCATAAGCATGACCAAACATTCTATGTATTGTTTTCAGATTTGTCAGGATTTCATAGTGTTGACTTTGCTTTCATGGTACCTTTTTTTTTTTTTAAAATAACTATATTTTGAGTTAACAAACATGCAAATACAACATGATTTACCAAATCATTGTTTTTAATGTAATACTTGGAATCTATTAAAGTTGGGTTATTATATTATAAGTCCTGTACTGTGTAACCTAATAATGTGTGCCCTATTATTTTCAAAATTACATTTAATACACATTTTTTTCTGAACTTTTTAAATGTTGTTAAACTCAATAACTTCCTTAATCGTTTTACTCTTGACCCAAGGTCAGTTGTAAAGCCTTCTTGTTCATTGTTCATGAACTAAGGTCATTGTTTCCAACTACAGCTATTATAAGGAAATGAGCTGTCATTTTGTTTTGCCCTTACAAACAATGGGACAATTTTAACCTCAGATTTTACTGACCGACCATTGCTGACTGAAACTAAATCATGACTTGTGCTACTCTATCTTTTTCAGTGTGTGGAAAACAGCAATTCCCTTCCAATTCCTACTCTCAAAATTATTAAAGACTATCCAGAGATGAAGGACTGGATACATCCCATTCAAAAAGACACACCTTTCTTCACAAGTAGCAAGAATTTTACCAAGATAGTTGTTGATCAAATTCGAGCTTTGGATGAAAATGTATACAATGTGCTGCTGCTTGCGACAGGTACACATAGATGGTATATGGGTTCAGTCTTTCTGTTCATTGATGTTTGCTTTGTGACTTTCTCCACATAGAAAATAACAATACCCTTAACATTCCAAGCACTTCCTTTGTTACTTTGTCCCCACCCATGTTTTTCCGTTTAAAAGTTGATTTATTTCTGGCTAAAGTGGCCAGGTCATGTACTTTTCTGCCTGAAATCTGCTTATAAAGTAGTCAAGTTTTTCTGCTTTTATCACTTGTACGCAAGCACAAACTGCTGGTTTGCTGATTTTTTGTGAAAATAATAATAATTTAATTTAGTTTAATTTGATAAGCTGTACTCATGTTACATGTCACATACCCAGAGCTGTTCTTGTCATCAAATTCATGCATTTTTGTGCGTGTTAGAGGTCATAGTGCTCAGAAAATCTTTACAAGATGTAATTATGAGTTTTTTGAACACATTGGGTTATTCAAAAGAAGATTTATGGTCACACTTTGTTTTGATGATCCGCTTGTTGAATTTTTTTTAAAGGATTTTAACCTTTAATGGACAGAATAGTGCAGAAAATTGACAGGAAATAGTTGGGAGCAGAGAGAGGGGAAGAGTCTGCAAAGGATCTCAAGCTGGGAATAAACTCAGGTTGCCGTGAGCACCATTGTGCTATATGTCAGCGCAGTTAAACACTAGGCTATTGGGACCGACCCATTTGTTGAATTTAAGCTACATTGCAAATAATAACAACTAATTCTCTTTAGATTATATTTAGTCTGTTAGGTTGGGGTTAGTGTAAGTTGACATGTACTTGCTAAGTTTCTTATAGTCAGTTAAATGTCTGTTGAAAGAGCAGTATCAACAGATATCAAGTTGACAGTCTACTAATATGTAAATGGACAATTAAAACAAAGTGTCACCAAATTTAGGCATAATTTACATATAAAAAACATTTTTACATGTCATAAATGTAACTGTAGATGTAATTATCTGCAATTCTGACTTATTGTAAGTGGGTTTTCTATTACAGTATAAGCATTTTATACTTTATCTTAAATTATTACATATACCCAACTACAAGTAATGCTCTCACAGTTTTTTTTTTCAGGCCGTCGAATGTTGTTTTGTAATTGAATTTTTTGTTTTTTAGACGATGGGATGATCTTCAAAATCCTACAGCATGGCTCTAAACCTTTCATCATTTCTGAAACGCATTTGTGCAATGGCTGTGCACCCATTCAATCAATGAAACTTGACTCTAAAAAGGTAATCAATTAGCCCCGTGAATCACTCAGTTATCAAGATTATCATTCATTTTGATTCTTCAGAATGTGTCAGCAATTTCTGTTGCACATTCACTGAGCCTGATTTTATCTGCAGCGGAAGCTCTTTGTTGGATATCCTGGTCAAATGTCGGTGTTAGAACTACAGAGATGCCAAGACTATGGTGCTTCTTGTGAAGAATGCGTTCTTTCTCGTGATCCATACTGCGCATGGTCTGAAAAAGGCTGCACGTCACAAACTAGGTACACTTTTTCTTGTATGTATTCAAATGTATTTGCATTGTTCTAAAACTGTGTAGCAGTGGCTTAAAACTTTGCAAATGGCAAATTGACCAGATATTGGCGAGCACAACTGAATATATGAAAGTAACTTTCTATTAAATATTTACCACTTCGTCATTTAGATTTTTAAATATTTTTTTCTGCTAAAACTGAATAGGCTAAGCGAGGGCTTCTCCGTGATGGCTACAACACAAACCTCAGTGGGCATGTATTTAAGAACAAAATGATGATTACTGAATAGGGGGTGGTATGGTGGTAAGCATGATTGCCTCACAGCAAGAAGGTTTAACCTGGTTCGAGCCTCGGCTGAGTCAGTTGGTATTTTTTGGGTGGAGTTTACATGTTCTTCCAATTTTCACGTGGGTTTCCTCGCCACCGGTGCAAAGACATGTGGTCTAGGTTAATTGGGTAAGCTAAAATTGTCCATAGTGTATGTGTGTGAATGAGTGTGTATGGATGTTTCCCAGTGATGTGTTGCAGCTGGAAGAGCATCTGCTGAGTAAAACAGATCCTGAAATTAGCAATTTATTCCACTGTGGCAACCCCACATTAATAATGGGACTAAGCCGAAAAGAAAATGAATAGCCGCATTTCCACTGTCGGGCCAATGCGGGCCAGAGCTTTAATGGGCCGGGCCAATCGCCGGGGAGGTTGAGCAGTGAGGCAGAAATCATGTCGCGTTTCCACTGTCAGGCTAGTAGCTTGCAGCACGTCACGCAAACCCAGTCCCCAGAATGTCCCCCGAATCAAACGTCACACAACCCGCCCACTTCATCCAAAATCAGGCAGATAAAGCACACCATGGCATGATCACGAGAGCATTAAAATGAAGACATCCAAAACAAACAAATGACAAGTTACTGTACAGCAGCACATAATATGTCTATATGCATGGGTCTTTGTGTTTTCATTCATTATATTCACTCATTTACCGACCAACTGTTGGCATCGTGCATCGAGTGGTCTCCGTTAATAACTCGGTAGAAAATGTATTTTATAACAACCTCATTTAGATAGACACAGTCAAACATTCAGCCCAAATGCTCCGAAGAGACCTGAAAAATATAAAAAATTTTATAGACTATATGACACTTAGATGTTGCATATTATTTTGTGATCTTAAGGAAATTGTTTTTTTCAGCACATAAGAGCAAGTAATAAAATATAGCCTATATTTCGTTGCCCTCAGCAGATTTTCACTAATAAAGCTCCTTATGTAAATTTCATTTTTTAATTTTAGCACTTCATATAAAAACATCAACACTTGTTTAAGGACAAAGAACACATTTTGTAATTGCAGTTTTTCCCTATGCGGCGCTGCATAGGATAGAAAAAAGGTAACCTAGTTTCTGCTTTCACTCACACAAAAAATGCTCTGTTTGCACGATTTGATTATTATCATCGTATCCAAATACTTTAAAAATAACATTTCAAACCTCCTCCGGTGTTTGCGTTTAGAAAATATCTAAAATCTTTTATTTTTTCAGAGAAGCCTTTGTAAAATGAAAGTTTAATATGGCTTTAAAACGGTTTGATTTATGTAGGCTATATAAATTATTATAGCTAGCTTTTGCTTGTTTTATATTGGTTTATTTAATGAGATTTTATTATATCCGATATTTGTAATTCTTTAAATTATATTTCTTTACAGCTTAGGCTATTTTATCAAGATATGACACTATTGTTTTGAGTCTACAAAAGTGGACACATAATTTGTTAAGCTTTATGTCTTTGGGCCTTATCATACACCCGGCGCAGTGTTGCGCAAGGCGCGTCGCAATAGTCTTTTGGTAGTTTCAGCTTGGCGCAAGAGTCATTTTGAGGCGTTGCGCTACGCTGTTTAAATAGCAAATGCATTAGCACTCATATGTGCGCCCATAGGCGTTCTGGTCTAAAAAGGAAGGCGTTCTGAGGCGCACTACTGGCGCGTTGCTATTTTGAGAAACTAAAATAGATTTTTCATTAGACCAAAACAAACCCGGTCTAACTCGCTTACACACTGCTTAATACGCATAAGAGAGCAATAGGCAAATATATTTACATATGAAAAAATTTTAATATTAAGGATATATATAGGATATAATAAGAATAGATATAGGATATAAATATAAAGGATTAAAATATTACAAAACATTATTTTCTAGCCTACATAAATATAAAAAAATCACTGCTATTATTTCTTCTTCATCTCGGGAGGCTTATTCAGTTCATTCATAACAATTAGCTTTTGTATAATGTTATTATTATTAGCAGTATTATTTATTATATCCATATTTATATTTGTTTTATTAAAACAAGCTTAGATTTGCCGACCTGTCAGGTTTTAGACCATATGGGGCACAGCATGTGTTTTAGGATATAACTCAGGTTTTTGAGCACACTTCGTTTTTATTGTTCATTTATTCATTTGCTGGAAATTAGAACTGAATTTAGAAATAGTTTTGAAACGAATATTTGCGCTTAACAAACGCAATTATTTATTTATAGTCTAATTGATGTCTGTGCGTAAAGGTTTCCCTATCCAAGAGGGAAAGTGAAAGTACATCCATTATCTCTCATTCTCACGCAGTATATGCTCTGTTTAACAGTTTTCTGTTAAAAAAAAACTGTTAACTGTTAACTGTTTGCTAGTGAAATGCTCATTTTTTCCACTTAGACTTACTTTGCGTCCTGTAAATAGCGAATGTGCTTATGGCGCAACGCAGCTGGCTCTTAAAGGTAATGGGAGATGAGACTCTAATTGGTTTATTCTCAAAACATACCTATAACTCATTAAGAAAATAAACTCAACCCTTTTAGACTATGCGCCACAGCGCAAAGCGGATTTTTCCGTCCTTAAATTAGCAAAAATGCGTTCTGACACGCTCTGAAAGCGTTTGCGCCCTGCGTTTTGCGCTCTGCGCATGGACCGTAAAAATAGAGCCCTTTCTGGTGTTCATGTATTATCTCCAAAATAAAATAAAAATAAAAATGCCGCTCGCGGCATCAACAGAGCTGTGAGACAGAGCATCTAAACGCTCTTTTGCTTTGTTTGTCTCACACACACATACAGGCATCTAAACGCGCACAAACACACCATTTAAACTTGACAAAAAAATTCTTGACAACCTTTACTGTCTGCTTTGTCTTTAATATGTTGTAAGATTATTATGCATTATTGAAACACCAAGAAGGACTCAGCAAAGTCACCTATAAATTACAATTTTATTATTATATGCAACAGCCTTACATTTTAAACAGAAAAATAAGGGCGATTATAAGCAAAAAGACCTCAGCCTATAAGGCTAGATCTTTTCTTTCCCTCGTTTATTTATTTGTTTATGTGTTTGGCGCATGTACTTGTGTGCGATCAAAAAGTAATGACGGCAAGCCATCTTTCCCAGACTCGGGGCAAAGTCTGCCTCTTCTTTCACTCCGCCCCGAAGCCCCAGCTGGCCCTCCATGGCCCAAGGTATTCAGCGGGCCGAAAAAGGCCAGTGGCTGGCCCCGAGAAAGCCCCTCTTTGGCCCGATTAGGCCCCGGAAGTGACAGTGGAAATGCGACTGGCCTTGGCTTGCCCTGGCTCGCTCACTTTAGGCACGATAGTGGAAACGCGGCTAATGAATGAATGAGTCCATTCTTTTTTACAGCATATTTTAATTGTCTAATTCAGATCACTTAAAAAAACTGCATTGCAATCTTGGAGACAGAAAGTCAAAACATCAATTTATTATCAAATTGTTTAATAAAAAGACGTGTAGCAGTTCATCAACCAAAAAAAACAAAAAACAAAAAAAACACCCTAATTGAACCTACAAACAACGTGTGAAAAATGATAAAATAGTCTAAATATGTTCTTAACATAAATGTTTGATACTTAAATACTGAAGAGGCCTACTGAGTAAACTAAACAGTCTGTTGTATCGGATGGCCATGCATGCCCCAAAATTGCTGTTTCAGTTTTCAGTTTCGTTACAAACTGCTGTTTTGTATTTTTTTTGAAAGGCAACAGATACTCAATTAAAATGAGAAAAAATTGTTAAGGTGAGAATGATCTCATCTTTTGGGAATCAATTTGATTATTGGGAGAATATTGATTAATGCTTGAAGACTGCAGAAATGTGACAGCTTCTCCCTAAAAGAGACAAGGAAGGTTATGATATTATTTTTACAAATTAATAAAAGTATATACATTAAGGTCAAAAAGTATTTGATCACCCAGTGATTTTTTTAAAGAGCCCCTATTATACATGAAAAAAGGTCATATTTTGGTTTTAAGGGTCTCCAACTACAGTCTAATATCCATGCAAGGTCAAAAAACACTTTCATGATCTTATAATCTGCATTTATCTTTACCTAATTATCCCAGCGACTCCCATATGAATCGTCTAGTGATTCATTTGTTCCCAAACCCCTCCTTAACGTGAAGCTAATCTGCGCTGATTGGACCGATGACAGTCTGTTGCGATTGGTCGACTGCCTTTAGCGAGAGACAGAGTCAAAGGCCCAGCAGCTAATCAACATTATAAAAGTAGTCACAGTGCATACACGCTCGATAGTGTAAGGCGTGGATTTTAGCTGCCAGTGGGTGAATGTAAATACAGACGATGGACTTGAAAATACAGACGACTAACTTTTTTATTGAGCAAAAACTCCAATAACTGGCGAGGAGATCTCCTAGCTTGTCACACTCTGCTCTTATCACAAACACACACAAACACACACACATATACATAACCCTCCTCTGGACGATAACGTGCGCACACACGCACACACACACACACACATTACCCTCCTCCGCGGAACGTAAACAAAGCAAAACGCGTCGCGTTTTTAACGTGGCTTTGCACGCGATATGAGAATATAGCGAGTTAACCTGATACAGTACACGCAGTTATAGGTAACAAATCACAACTAAATACATTTGCAAGCTAGAGTAAACGAGGCAACAACTTTAATCGCACGTACCTACACTTGAGAAATGGAGGAAGAAACCGATTCATGTCCTGACATGTCCATCCGTACACTTTACTGATTCTTCCTTTAACAAACGGCCGATGAAGTCTTCTTTGTAGCATGTAGTTTCCAGAAGTTTCCAGTAGTTTCCAACTGCCCAAGGCTGGGTTATAATGCTGAGGTTTCTTTTTTGGGTAGAGACTCAATAATATCCATCTGCAGTGTGACTTTAATCGACCGGCATGTTTTTGTGTGTGTGTTTGTGTGTGTGTGTGGGTTTCTGTGTTAAGGGGCGGGGCCGCAGGTTTCAAATCTCACGGGTTTGCGCGTGCGCATGAATAACTTGGTTTCGTTATTATGTCATGGCGAAACACCTAATGACTCGTTATCAAGACGACTCGTTTAAAGCACTATAAGTCGACTTTTTTTTATAGATGAATCAACAGTTTTAAGCATTGTATACTTACAGATTTAAGCCTTAGCTGGATATTTCACTTCACTTAGATTGTGTTACACACTACATGAAAGGGCATTTTCACAAAAACCCATAATATGGGCTCGTTAATATCTACTTAGAAATCATGGAGGGGTCTAGAATTTTCAGTATACAGAAACAGAAAAAGAATCTAAAAATAAGAAACCAGAAATCACACTGTATTTTTTTTTAACAATTAATTTGTAAATTACTGTGTCAAATAAGTATTTGATCACTTGAGTCAAAAATGTTTAATATATAGTACAGAAGCCTTTGTTGACAATTATAGAAGTTAAACAGTTCCCGTAGTACTTCACCAGGTTTGCACACACTGCAGGAGGGGTTTTAGCTCACTCCTCCATACAGATCTTCTCTATAAATGTTAGGTTTCGAGGCTGCCTCCAAAGATTTTCTATTAGATTTAGGTCTGGAGACTGGCTACCCCAGAACCTGGATTCTTACAGAGCCACTTCTTGGTTTTTCTAACTGTGTGCTTTGGGTCATTGTCATGTTGGAAGACCCAGCCACTACCCATCTTTAATGCTCAATATCTCACAGTACATGGCCATGTTAATCCTCTCCTTAATACAGTGCAGTCGTCCTGATCCCTGTGCAGAAAAACACCACCAGAGCATGATGCTTCCAGCCCCATGCTTCACTGTAGGTATGGTATTATTCAGATGATACACATTATTCTTCTTCCTTAGGACCAAAAAGTTCTACTTTGGTCTCATCTGACTGCAGGACTTTCTCTCATGACTCCTCTGGATCATCCAGATGGTCCCTGGCAAACTTCAGATGGGCCTGGACGTGGGCTGTTTTAAGCAGATGCATTGATGCCTTGCAATGTCTGATTTTAAACCATGTCTTAGTGTATTACTGATGGTAGCCTTGGAAACGGTGGTCCCAGCTCTCTTCACGGCATTGATCAGCTCCTCCTGTGTAATTCTGGGCAGATTCTTGACTATTCTTAGCATCATTGATACCCCACGAGGAGAGATCTTCCGTGGGGCGCAGTCCAAGAGACATTAACAGTCATCATTAGTCTCTTCCATTTTCTAACAATTGCTCCAACAGTTGTTCTTTTTACACCAAGCTGTGTGGCAATTGCCCCATAGCCGTTCCAGCTTTATGAAGGTCTACAATTTGATCTCTTGTGTCCTTTGAAACAGATGTTTTTATAGCAGCTAACAACCTTAAACAGGTGCTACTAAATTAGAATCATGAGCAGAGTGGAGCTGGACTATTTAAAAGCAAAATAACAGGTCTTTGAGGGTCAGAAATCTGTCTGAAAAGCAAGTGATGAAATACTTATTTGACACAGTAATTTACAAATAAGGGCGAAGCAGTGGCACAGTAAGTAGTGCTGTCGCCTCACAGCAAGAAGGTCGCTGGTTCTAACCTTGGCTCAGTTGGCGTTTCTGTGTGGAGTTTGCATGTTCTCCCTGCGTTTGTGTGGGTTTCCTCTGGGTGCTACGGTTTCCCCACAGTCCAAAGACATGTGGTACAGGTGAATTGGGTTGGCTAAATTGTCTATAGTGTATATGTGTGTGTATGTGTTTGTGGAGGTTTCCCAGAGATGGGTTGCAGCTGGAAGGGCATCTGCTGCATAAAAATGTGCTGGAATAGTTGGCGGTTCATTCTGCTGTGGCAACCCCTGATTATTAAAGGGACTAAGCCGACAAGAAAATGAATGAATGAATGAATTTTCAAATAAATTGTTAAAAAAAATCATACAATGTGATTTCTAGATGTTTATTTTTATCTCTCTTTTATCTCTTATTTTTCATCTCTTACTGTTACCACGACTGGGGTGGAGTGACAGGAGACAACAGGAGATAAGATCCAATATGCAGTTTATTCAAAGTCAGGCAAGCAGTGGTCATCAGGTGCAAACAGGTATCTATAGACAGTCCAGAATCGTAGTCGATATAAACAGGCAGAAGGTCAAAAGGCAGGCGGCTAAACAGGATAACTGGGATACAAGGCTAGGGTCTAGACACAGAGAAACAAGACAGAGAAACGCGTTGTATTGTCACACTGGGAAAACAAGACTCGGCTGGTAGCGTGAGAGAGTGGCTTATGAATGGGATGTAATCAGTCTGTGAACAAGGTCCAGCTGGTGATGCAATCAGGAAACATGAGTGAGCAGGTGTGCGTGTTTGGGAGCAGTGCATGTATGAAAATGTAGTCCTGGGAAATGCGGAAATGTAGTTTCAAGTTCGTGTGAGAACCAGCGATCCTCTGGGAAGCGATCGCTGGTTGTGACACTTACAGTGGAATTCTACACCCCTCCATGATTACTAAGTAGGAGATATTGAAAAATCACAGGGTGATTAAATACTTGTTGACCTTATTCACTGTATGTAGTTAATTCACCGAAAGTTAATTCTACTCATTTCAAAAGAGTTATGAACTCTGTGTCGAAGGTAATGAGTTAATCAAATACCTCATTAGTTCAACTTGAATGGAGTAAGTTCACAGTACTCATTTAGATTTTTTTTTTTTAACTCAAATGGTTTGTGGTAATCGGTTTCCTCAAACGGTTTGAGTTGCCTTAACTAACTGGGTTTTACAGTACTCAATTGATTTGAGTTTTCTTCATTTATTGGGTTTTATTCATATATGTATATATATTTTATATATATATATATATAATTTTATTACTTATTATTATTTTTTTCCCCCCAGAGATGGGTTGCAGCTGCAAGGGCATCCGCTGCGTAAAAACTTGCTGGATAAGTTGCCGGTTCATTCCGCTGTGGCGACCCCGGATTAATAAAGAATACTAGTTATAAACAATATATATATATATATATTAGGGTTGTAACAATATACCGGTATGACGGTCCACCACGATTTGAACGTGCACGATTATCATACCATGAACAATTGCATATCAACGGTTTTAACCCTTAAAGACCGAGACAGCCGCCCGCGGCTAAAAATAAGTATTGCTCTTAAATGTTTAATAACTTTTGATCCGCTGATCCGATTCATACAATTCAAAGATTGGCATAAAGAAGAGAATCTTCCAGTGCCGTATCACATAACATTTACGGACTTTCAGAGGCTCCAGAATCAGTGCGGTTACGTCATCAAAATTTGACAACGCTGATTTGACAAAGAAACGCTCGTCACTGTGTCTCCGGACAAACCAGACATACATTGATGCATTGTCCTTTCTCCATGCCCAGATTGGTTCAAACTCGCTATATCACAACCAATAAGCATAGGTTTCGCTTTTGTTTGTGGACCAACAATGAGCTTTTTGAACAACACCGAATGAGAGATAGGCATACATTTATGCGCGGCTAAATAAAACGCAAAAAAAAAAAAGTTTTGCATGAAATAATTCTCATACTAAGTACTTTTGCATGCACAGCAGCACAGAAACATGACAAAACAGTGACACAGCAAAGACGAAGTGCTGCTCTTGCTGTTTTCAAAAGACGCAAATGAAGGTGCAGCTGTTTGTCTGCATTGCAGACAACCATATCCAAATCCATATCCACAGACAACCATATCCATGCTGGCACATAAAACCTAAGGATGTTCCATATTGAATCTAGTTTCGTTATGTAACTATTTATAGTATAGTAAATATTTATATCTATTTTTTTTACTGAGGATTTGCACCATGTTTATTTGGACTTTGACACATTATTTATTATTTCCTTTTTTTTTTATTTGTTCATTGTAAGTGGTGTTGTTTATAGTAACTGAAAATATATTATTTGGAAAAAGTCAAATTTGCTTCACTGTTCTATTATTTTGTAACATTTTTTTTCTGTTTAGTTCATTCCCAGACCTTTTGGGCAAATACATTGTCAGTAAATAAATGCATTTTTTTTCCCCCATAGAAAAACCTTTGTTCAGTCAGAAAACGTGTTCTTATTCTTTTCAGGGTCTTTGCTATGAGAATTACTATTTAATACCGTATACCGCGAAACCGTGGTATTGTTTTAGACGATTATCATACCGTAAAAAATTCATACCGTTACAACCCTAATATATATATATATATATTGTTTATAACTAGCACATTTCATACATTTATTTTAGACAATTTTAGCTAACCCAATTCACCTGTCCTGCATGTCTTTGGACTCGTGGGGGAAACCAGAGCACCCGGAGGAAACCCACGTGAACACGGGGAGAACATGCAAACTCCACTCAGAAATGCCAACCCAGCTGAGGCTCAAACCAGCGACCTTCTTGCTGTGAAGCGACAGCACTACGTACTGCGCCACCGCGTTGCCCACTAGCACAGTTATATACACATAAAAATACAAAGACTCCATTTTTATTTCATTGCTACAATAAGACATTTATTTCAGTGAGACTATAATGTTTTTCTGTTTGGATTTTGTTTCAGAGGAGGAATACAAAACATTTCTGATGGCAATGTCACTAAAGTATGTGACCACAAATCAGGTATATAACTAATCCAATAATTGTTTTAAGACACAAGACAAAATAAGTCTTCCAATCTCATGTATCTCTAACAAATGTTTTTAGTGGGAAGAGTTAGACGAGACGCTCAACAGTCATCTACTGCTCCCTCAAGGATTCAACACACTGTGGCCACTGATGTCCCCTTCTACTTATCTTGTCCGGTCGATTCACATCATGCCAGTTATAGATGGGAACACGGGGGCAAAAGCAACCCATGTCAACAGACCCAATCGGAATACCTCCTCCTAATCCCAGCTATGACGGCTGAGAATTATGGCAATTACAGTTGTGTTTCCCAGGAACGTGATTACATCAAAGTTGTGAGAGAATATGAACTCCTTGCTAAGTCTGTTTTTAATGATGCTTTCAAGCTGAAAATACAAGACCGGCAGCTAATGGTAGCATTTGTCACGAGTGCCTTCTATCTGTGCTCACTTTAAGGTCAAGCTTGTTATGTAAGTGCTTCTGTCTTTAGGCATTTCTGACGACATTTAAGCTGATTAAAACATCAGTCACGTTGTCAAGAGGCTAGTGGTTCGTGGGCAAAGATAATTGTCTTACAAAGTCAGCACTGAAGTGCACATCCTAGAAGATAACTTCCCATTATATGTTAACCATCTATTTAGTATGTGCTGAATTGGTACAGTGGAGTACCAAAGTCTAAAACTCTTTGGAATCTGAAAATACAGTATTTAGCATTGACAGCGTTTTTTACATGCTGCACAGATATTATGTTTGGAGATTCCCTGTAAATATTACTAACAATTAGAATAGTAATACATTTAATTGGTAATGTGTTTTTTTTATAACAGCAAAAAAAAAAAAAAATAATAATAATAATAATTTTTAAAAAATCAAGTAAAAACAACCCTGAAATAAAATGCTTTGTGACAAGATGTAAAAAATTGCAGGGAGAGAATTACACTGTTTTACAAAGAAAATTTCATATATAAACATCAAAAAGCACTTTAAGACTGACCCTCAACATTGATCTTTACCAATACAAAAAAAAAAAAAAAAAAGCCACTGGACTAAATTTGAATAAAATATGAACTGCTTATTATCACCCCTCCCCTCCTACATGAACTTAAATTAAATTCAAGAAATTATTAAATAAATATCTGCTCGATAGTCACTTGGATTTTTAAAAAAGTTTTGGTTCAAATAAAGGCAGAGAGGTTTTCAGGAGTGTGGTTAACCTGAAGCAAGTTTTTATTTTTTGTCTATATATTTAGTGTTTGCGTGAAGGTCTTTAAGATTCAGTTTATTATTTATGAAGAAAAGGTTATTGTTCTACATTATGGCTGTGATGAAGATAGGGATTTTGTGTTGATTGCCCGTTTGAAAACTGCACCTTGACCCTTATGAGGAATGAGGAAGAAAGAAATTGAAGAAAGAATTCCACAGCCTTTCACACTAGCAAAATGTATGGCCATAACCATATCACCCTGCAGCCCAAGACCAGTTCCACACTAAAGCTAAGCAGGGCTAAGCCTGGTCAGTACCTGGATGGGAGACCACTTGGGAAAACTAGGTTGCTGTTGGAAGTGGTGTGAGTGAGGCCAGCGGGGCACTCAACCTGCGGTCTGTGTCCTAATGCCCTAGTTTAGTGAAGGGGACACTATACTGTCAGTGGATGCCATCTTTCAGATGATACATTACACCGAGGTCTCTGTTGTCATTAAAAAATCCTATGGGACTTCTTGTAAAGAGTAGAAGTGTAACCTTGGTGTCCAGGCCAATTTCCCTCTGTTTGCCCTATCCCATTTATAGTCCTTAGCCCTTCCCTTTACCCCTACCCCTTGTTTTGCGCATTCCCGTGAAGGGGTAGGGGTGTCCCAAATCACTTTAGGTTGAAAGCTTAGGGGTAAGTGGAAGGGGTAGATAGCCCTTCGAACGAAGACCAAGGGGTAAGAAATTTTCAGAGAATACACCAGCTACAACAGCAAGAACTCTGCACCCGGAAGTGGGGCGGGGTGGAGTTGGTGGTCGCATTGTATGGCGCAGGGTGTCGCGGATGAAGAATGAAAGTGAAGAGCGGGGGGTTGTCACGGACGAAAGTGAAGTGGCTTGGTGAGTTGCGTAAGAAAGTGAACAGCGGACGGGGAATGAGGGCGGTTGAGGAGGGGGATCGGTAAAATCAGGTGCCGGATCAGATTTCAGAGGTGCCGGATCCAGATGCAGCATGTTTCGGCACAAATTAAGCTGTGGGTAAATGTAAAACTTAAAGGTTCTAGAAACCCTTGAGGTTTTTTTTTTAAATGTTTTGTGTGTGTTGTACATCAGTTAAGACTTCTGTCAGCTTTAATTGAGGGGACAACTGGATAATTTTGAGCTTTTGTCAGCTAATTTTTTCTTCTGAGTATATAATGTTTGGGGTGGGATCAAAATCAGTGACGTAGTAAAGTCTGCTAGTGGAGTGATGACGCGGCTGTTTCTCATTATTATAGCGGAGTTTTCTTGTTCTATGAGAAACCCCTGCTTTTTAATTATTCATGAGACTATGTGCTTTCCGAAGGCAAGGCAGACATGTCAAGCTATGAGATCCAATGACTGGGTGAGACAGCAAGGCATGCATTTAGCAATTCATGAAGGGTTGTATGTGTTTGTTTCCATAATCTACGGAGTTTGTTGCATGACTTTCTCTGCGATGCTGTCAAAGCCAATATAGCAAAGCTGTTGATTTGCTGCCAGTTGCGCCCACAAAAAAAAATTTCTTAGGGGTGGCCAGAAGAGGCCACACCAATTCTTTTTTTTTTTTGTTTGTTTCTGGTAAATGAAATAATGTGGTTTTAATTTATTTAATTAATTACTCATGAATATTGCAATTTGTTCCTTAAAATAATTCAGCAATATATATATATATATATATATATATATATATATATATATATATATATATATATATATATATATAGTATTTATATTTGTAACAATATTTAGTTTAAAAACGCTTTTCATATTTAAATACCTTTTCAGTTATTTTTTACATACTTTTACTGTACAGCATACTGTATAAGCCATCTCTGAAATTAATGAAGATTAATGAGTTCATTAATATAACAAACAATGAACAAACTGAACAAAGGGCATTACTATATACAAACACACACTCACCATAGAGAACCTAACAATATCATTTATCATATTTCTTTTTGACTCACAATATTATTAATACAGCTTCTTCTGTTGATGTACCTTAAGTAAAATAAGTTGAAGGTGTGTGCGTGCTGTCAACGACAATCGGGGAGAAAGGGGGAGGGGCAGTGAATCAGCTACGTCAGTGGCTCCAACAATAATTTAGTGGCTGCATTTATTTATTTATTGAAATATTATTATGTATTGAAAACATTACATAAGTACATTTAAATGAATAATATCAACAGCAAAATCCTATTGGGGTGGCCACATGGGTGGCCCTTGGGGGCGCCCCTGTTTGCAGCAAGCATTTTGTACAGAATCGGAGAATGGCAGACTTTGTCTTTTATCAGTTGAGTTTGCTACCATTCAGACACATCACCTTTGCGTGCTGCTGTTTGCCTAATTTTAAATTCTTTGCATTTTAACTTTGTAAACTATAAAGTCAAAGGTCTCCTCACGGTTTGTGTCTCATTTTGTGAGCCAACTGACAAAAGTTGTTTGCTACATATCCTAAAGCATTTTTTGAAAAAAAAAAAAATAATAAAATTAGAGGTAGTCTTGAACCAAAAGAGGAGGGGTTCGTGGCTCTTTAAAAACAAGGGACTAACCAAGAATTTAATGAGGCATATGAGAGACCAGTATGGACACCAGCCACTGATTTATCCCCACCTATAAAAACAAACTGACTGCAAAGGTCACAACAACTGATTGTTTTTTATGGAGTCACTGAATCGTTCATTCAACCAATATTTTCAACTCATTTCATTTTTAATTCTTTGTAGCTATAAAGAGCACTGATATAGTGTGTGTCGCTCAGAGATGCTCAACAGTTTGCTTTTGCTAAATTTGAACATGTTTTAATGTCACTGTAAAAAAAGTATTTACACTTTTGCACCAATTGAATGTAATATTAACAGTATTTTCAAGGACTGCATAGCTTGTCTGCATCTGCATGGCATATGAGACTAAGCATTATAGTCAAAGTCTCAGTAATTCCCATATGCATTGGGTCTGTTTTCCTCCCATAGGGCAGGACATAAGGGCAAACATTTTTCCTTGGTTGCTTTCATACTGCTCTTGTGTGTCTTTAATATTTGTATTAATTTAAGTGAATAATTCTGCAAAGTGTACAGTGGTTGTTAAGTTTGCTTTTATGTTTGCTTTATTACACAAAAACCTGTTTTTTGAGATCTCAGTATACTGTACCCATAGTATCATAGTAATGAGTTGTCACATCTTTAAGTAAAACAGTAAACAGTATGTATATTAGCTATATATTTTTTAATAAGAAAGTACACACACATACAAATATTCTATTTTCTATATTCTATTTTTCTATTTTGTCTCATTTGTAATCTAATTTAAGTGCTGTTGTGTACAGACGATGGATTAGGAGCCTGTGTGTGTGTTAATGTTCACTTAGTTTTTTTGTTTTTCATTTAGTGGCTAAACACATTAATTATTGAGAGAGAATACAGTGACAGATGTCAAGGCTCTGCTGTGTTTCTATTTTAAAATCATATTATACCAGCAAGGGGAATTGAAATTTGTTTTGTTTTTTTCTTTTAATTTGCTCCATTTGTCAAATATTATGATTAATGTTGTTGTCATTTCTCTGTCTCTGAAACATTTTCGCTTAAATATGTCCCAGTATGTTGTGCTTTATTGTAGTCATGCATTTATCCAATGTTTCCTCTACATATGTTTATTAACAAAATAGTAATAAAATTGTATTTTTTTAGTGCTTGAACATGTCTGTTATCCATTCTCGCGCACACACACACACACACACACACACACGCACATGCACGCATGCTATAAATGCTCTATTCTTGACTTACAACCACATTTAAAATGTAATAATTGTACTTTCATACTTTGTTAATGATCTATTTTTCATTATTAAATTTTGTATTGCAATATTTACAAACCATTTGTATTTAAGAGTAGTTGGTGGTTTTTAAGATAATTCAGAATGAGTTAGTAAATGATTAATAAACTATTGAAATCAACATTTAAATATCCTATTATTCAGGCATATAGTAATGATTACTATGTATGTCAATAAATGCTTTATTAACTCAACTTCATGCAGTTTTGTGGCCTAATCTGGTAACACTTTACAATAAGGCTCATTAGTTAGTGCATTTACTAACATTAACTAATCATGAACAACACATGTACAGCATTTATTAATCATAATTGAATATTTACTAATGCATTATTAACATCCAAGTCCATGCTTGTTAACCTTAGTTAATGCACCATGAGTTAACATGAACTAACAATGAACTACTCCATTTTCATTAACTAACGTTAACTAACATGAACAAATACATTAGTAGATGTATTGTTCATTGTTTGTTCATGTTAGTAAATGCATTTATTAACTTTAACTAATGAACCTTATTGTAAAGTGTGACCCCTAATCTAAAGTGAGGACTATTTATGCTTTATAAATCCCTTATAAATGACAATTAAAGGCATCAAATGAACAATAATCTTTGCGATCTTATCTAAAAAGTAAATGTACTGCAAGGTTTAAACATTGCCAAATAACAGGAGTGTCAAAATACAACATCAAATTGGATAAAACAACAACAATATAATAATTAAACAATATAATAATATACAATGTTTAAATTGTACAGTAATTTTATTTTAGATAAGGTTGCAAATATTTATTTTTCATTTGAAGTACAGTTTTATTTGTGTATCTTTAAACAAATAGGAATGAATAATGTTGTTTATGTTCTTTTTTCCTATTTAGAATTTAACTGAGCCATTCATTGTCATTTATAAGGGATTTATAAAGCATAAAGTCCTCACTTTCAGATTAGACCACAAAACTGGATGATGTTGAGTTAATAAAGCATTTATT